AATATCACGATTTATACTCTAATCAAAAGACTAAAGGCCCTCTGGTCTATCCAGTCCCTTTCCTAAAAGGAAGCAAACTGCATCGTGGCATACCATGATATCACAAAGAACCTAACTCACATCCTTTATGACTCCCTGCTAAATTCCTGATACTACATCTGTGGTTCTCCTGATATACATAATACACAAAAATGCTTATTGTGACGGTTACTCACTCATGGAGTTTTCTTTCCCTTATTCGATGCACTGGGTAGCCTCTAGTTCATAGAGCCAACTCCCACATGAAAAATTAGTGGAGCCAGACATAGATAATCACACCGAGTCAACTTCCAGGAAAGATCATTCATCTCCGGAAACAAAGTCAATGCTACATACCATGTGCAAACTAGAAAGTAACTTGCTCAAGGAAGTCACTTGCGCAGGTGATCCATGTTAGAATTGATATCATACGTGGCGCATCTGCTTTTCAATGAACAAATTAACGATAGCACACTACTTCACAAGACATATTTCCCACAAAATGAGATTTTAATATGGATGTTTTAATGCAATACCCCTTGCTAACACTGTCTTCTCTATAAGGTCCACATACTCCATGTCTTTCTTCAGATTGACTCACTGACTTCATCTAAACAAGATCCCTGACCCAACTTATTTGATAAGTGTCCTCAACCAATTGCAAACAGGGTATTCTGTTCATCAATCCATACCCTCAATTCTCTTTAATACAGCTGGTGATTTGACTGCCAGAGAATGCATATAACTAGCTTCCCATTCAGATAAACTTCTGTAGCTTGTGCTTGGACATCAAACAGAAATATGTGATTAACCATTTTTATTCGAGCAATGTCCTGAAATCTCACAATATACAAGTTCTTAATTTCCTGTTGTGGACTAGCACTTAATTCATCAAATTGGTGCTCAGTCAATATGCTAGCATCTTTCAATAATCCGTGGAACGTGATTCTTCCACCAAGCTGGTAAAATGGCACGAAATAGACCCATACTTTATGCCTCGCCTATTCATACGATAAGTTGCTAGACTCTTCTATCCACTGCAGATTGGAAACCAAGTTTAATGAAAATCCCTATTCTCTTAACCTTGCGCAAATTATGTCCTTAAACACTACCAGTACGTCAAGTGGAACTAATGTCAAAAGGAAAATTTCAGTCTAGCCTCCCGATTCAGAACAACTTTTCAAAGTCATAAATTGATTATTTAATTAATGCATATGCTAAAATGTCTTAGAAGCATCCTCGATTAATCTAATCAACACAAGCAATAAATCAAATATACATGAAAATAGATGCTGGATTCCATGGATGCTTTCTTACAAGTAAATGCTTCCTTTGTGTGTCGTAGTCTAGGTCACGAGCATGGACAGATTCTAGTGAATTTGCTTTCCTGTCACCATATGAACTCCGTCAGCACACACTCCAGAAACTTGTAGAGTGTCCACAGGATGAGAAGATACTAAGCAAGCAAAACTCAAGCTAGCTCCATTTCAGTTTATTACCCTCGAAGTTACAATTAATTGGAAACAGGGGTACACCACCTGAAAATTTGCCCCGAGTGGCAAATGGTATGTTCATCTTAAAAAGAAATCAAAGCAAACACAATTACTTCCAGTTTAACTGGTTATTGCACTTTTATTCTTCTTTGGAAGAAAAATATGCAAAAAGAAAACGGCGAAAAGTGCAATGCACTTTTATTCTTCTTTGGAAGAAAAATATGCAAAGAAAAAAAAAGCGAAAAGTGATAAAGAAAACATCTAACTATGAATAGAGCACTTATGAATAGAGCACTTAACAGAACCAATACATGAACTGAACAAGGTTCATCAACCAACTGCAAATAGAAAAGGGGGTCACATCTCAACTTAGACGCTATGCATCAAATGTGGATAGGATGATGAAACCTACTGCATAGTCCGAAGATCCCAAAATTGGATTGATGATTCACAGGTTGCAGCGACAGTATTTACATCATGTGGATCCCATGCTCCACCAGAGAGGTAGTGCAGCATACCAGCAGACTCCTGTGAATGGACCTAGAATTTGAAACAAGACCTGAATAAGGATCAGCAAGTAAGGATACGAATTAAAAAGGACATATCACTCTTCATATTGTCCATTTCCCACAAATACTATTACAAGCACACTGCATCAATTGGTCTTTCACCTATCTCCACACAACCAAAAAAAAAGGATTATCCATTGTCATTTCAACATCAACTCGAACACTCATGTGAAAACCATATGAGACCCATGGAGCCAAATAAGATGTTTCTAGAACTCCTTGCAAAAAAGAGCTCAACGGTCTTTGTATGGGTACAAAACATTGTATCTACATCAAACAAAGTGACTCTGGACCATGTCAATATAATCATCCATTTACTTCTCTCCCCTATCTCCTCTACCGGTTGTCTTACATCACAGAATTAAAAGGCGATGGCAAAGGAACTATATTACTTATAAATATCTAAAGAACATATGGGAGAAGTATATAATCCATTTCATTCTTAAAGAAGTAGCCAGTAGAGAGGTTCCATTAGAATATACCCGAGCCGACTTCTTTGAACAATCTAAGTTCCATAAGAAGATGTTTTCCTCATCAATACTAATCAACTTGTCATGCCTTCCAGACGGCCACCAGAGAACACTGTTGCAGGCATTCCCCAAGTCAGCAAGCAAAGTAAAGTTTTCAAATGACAAAATAGGGAGACTATGCTAAAGAAGCCCACCAACTGATCTTGCGTGAATGCGCATCAAGTGAGGCAATTTTTTCCAAATGAGGAGAATTCAACTGTCCATATAACTCAGGAATCTGCCATACAGCAGCTCCATAAGATTCACCTTCAACAAGAGGAGGATTTTCAAAACACATTCCAACTAGTCCTTCAATCTTAGCTAATGTTATCATCCAACAAAATCAACCCATAAATAAGGGACGCTGTAGCTGAATGATGATTCATCAAAAGAATTAACAATTCATACGTAAACTTACTTAACGTGGATATAATTCACATTACACCACCTGACTGAAGAACTATTACATTAAAAATAATATATCGTCATAAACAGACTTCCTAGATCAAATTCATGAGAGAAGAAAACAATCGCCATTTAGTGATTTGCTCTAACCTTGGAAGCATTCATAGGTAAACAAGGGCGGAGAGGTTAACAAATTTAACGGGACGAAAACAAATGAAATTACAAACTCCGTCAATCTGTAGAATTGAATCGCATACAACAGAAAATGCAGTGACAGTGTTTCACAGAAATGATCGTCTACTCCAGAGGATTGAGCCTAACTAGCCGAAAACATCGACACTGAAGAGTAATAATCGCAGCTTAGCAGCGGACAATGCATGCAGTAGAACCCATATAAGCAATCAAATCATCGAGGCTCGGAAAACCAAATCAAACCGAAGAGCCGGCACATTTGACCGAGCGACCAACAGCATCATCAGGACACGCATTCGAGCAGATCATGGATCGATCAATCACCAGTGGAGAAAACAGTAGAGAAGATGCGCTGATCGAAGGGGCAGGAGGAGAGGTCCCAAATCTCGTTCGGGTGCGAGAACAAGCCCTCGCAAATCAGCTCCGTACCGCCCGACGAGAGCCTCAGCAGATGGACCTGACGGAGAACGCATCGATTATAGATTCGGCCAGATCGAAGCAAGCCCGCGGGCGAGCGAGAGAATTTGCGAACAAGTCGCGCGAGACGCACCTCGTTCTCTTCCTTGAGGCTGAGGGTTCCGGTGAGGAAGCTGGTGTGGTCGGTGTCGGCCTTCACGTCGGAGATGCACCTGGCCTGCGAAAAATCCGGCGGAGAATTCATCAGGACGAATGAACGGAATCAAGGATCGAGGAGGGAAACTTGGCGGGAGGGAGGGAGGGACGACTGGGGGGGTTTCGACGGAGGTTGGACCTGGTACTTGAGGCCATAGCCAACGCCCGACGATCCTCCCTGCATCGATGCGGTGAACTGTGATCGCCGATTGAGCTGAACTGGCTGAGCTGAATCGCGTTCTCTTGCTATTTTGCCGGTTGCTTAAACTCGCGAGCTCTCTCTCTCTCTCTCTCTCTCTCTCTCTCTCTCTCTCTCCGGTGCGACCTGGGAACTGCGACGAAATCGCTAATGGGCCTAAGGCCCAGCCCAACTAATGTGGGCCATGATTGGTAAATGGGCCTCAGGCCCAATTAGTGAGAGCTCAGGATATGAACTCTTCCTACGTCTTGCTACCCATGGAACTAGCATTTCCACCCCATGGTTATTAAGGGTGCGAATGATAACCATTCTGCTTCAGAAATTAAATTCTTGCCAGAAATTGATTTCTGGAGGAGAAATCTGTTTGGTAAAACATGACTAATTCTGCTCCAGAAATCTGTTTTGATTTGTTGATTTTTTTTGCACCTAAAAAATTTAAATTTTACTCAAAGTGGGTGGCCACATGTATTATAAGCAATTTCAAAAGTTTTGAAATTTTTGATTTTTTTAATTTTTTGGGCACTAAAAAAATTAAAATTTCACTCAAAGTGGGTGGCACGGGTATTCTAAGCCATTTTGTGAAGTTTTGAATTTTTTTATTTTTTTTTTATTTTTTTGGGCACATCAAAAAATTTAAATTTTACTCAAAGTGGGTAGCTACAGATATTCTAAGCCATTCTGTGAAATTTTGAAATTATTTATTTATTTTTTTTGGGCACTCAAAAAATTTAAATTTCACTCAAAGTGGGTGGCCACAGGTATTTTAAGCCATTTTGTGAAGTTTTAAAATTTTTATTTTTTTATTATTTTTATTTTTTTTGGGCACCTCAAAAAATTTAAATTTCACTTCAAAGTAGGTGGCCACAGGTATTTTAAGCCATTTTGTGAAGTTTTGAAATTTTTGATTTTTTTTGGCACCTCAAAAAATTTAAATTTCACTCAAAGTGGGTGGCCACATGTGTTTTAAGCTATTCTGTGAAGTTTTGAAAATTTTGATTTTGATTTTATTTTTTAAAAGAAAATTCACCAAATTTCATATTTTCCCAAAATCTGACTTTTTTTTTATTTTCTGGAAATTTTTATGAATTTTTCAATTTTTATGCATTTTCTGAAAAAAAAATTGTGAGAAAATAGGGAGAATGCATTCCGAAATCAAGAAGCTACAAAAAGTAGCTTCTCTTTTTCTTGCCAAAAACTCATTCCGGAATAAAAAATGCATTCTGGAATCAATAATGCATTCTGGAATCAAGTATTTTTAACAAACGCATTTTTATTCCAGAATGCAAAAATCGCTCCAGAATGCATTCCGGAAATTTTTTAACAAACGCCATTCTGTTCCGGAATGCATTCCGAAACAGAATTTTTATTCTGGAATGCATTCCATGCACACCCTAAGAGTACGTTTGGTAACCATTTTGTTCTCGAAAATAATTTCTGTTCAAAAATAATTTTTTTATTCCATTTTTAAAAATAATTTCTAAGTATTTGAAGGCGTTTGAAAACTACCCAAAATTTTTATTCCTGAAATAGAAAAAGAATAGAAATGTGTTTGGTAACTACACAAATTTTCTTTTTATTAATAATATTTTGAATTTTTTAATATTTTTTCCTTTTTTTTCCTTTTTTTTCTGTTTCCTTTTTTTCTTCTTCTCCTTCCTTGGCCCATGACCGGGTCACCGGCGAAGGCGAGGGTCGCCCTCGCCAGACCCTCACCCAGGCCGCGAGGGCGGCGATGAGGGTCCGACCCTCACCAGGCCGCAAGAGTCCAGCCCTCGCCCTTGCCCGCGAGAGTCCAACCCTCGCCGGCCACCTAACAGGAAAGAAGAAGAAAAAAATTTTCTTTTTCATTTCTGATTCTTGTTCCCAAAATCAAGAATCAACATTTTTTTTATTCTTAATTCTGTTCTAAAACTGATCTTGGGAACAAATTTGTGCCCGGGAATAAAAAATTTATCAAATGGATTTCTGTTCTTTTTTTGTTCTCGGGAACAAAAGAATAACATCAGGCACTGTTTGGATAGTTACCAAACAGGCCCTAACTAGATGCTCGCACGGATCCAAGGTCATGGACCATATATAATCATCATCGTCCACCCCGAGTCCGATCATGTACTTCACGCGAGACTCATACCGATCAACAATTTTGATGAACCCGATTCATATAAATCTAGGTCCCGACGAATATTTTCGCTGCAGAGACAAAGTTACAGAAGTAGGAAAGCAAGCGGAGCCTGGCAACATCAACCGAACCGATTCATTGCCATAACAATCTTCAAATGGCAATCTATTTAAAAGTTAGGAAGTCCAAGATTGAATCCTGGGCTTATAACTAGCACGAAGTGCGAATACATCAACATGAGCAAATAGTTCCATTTTGCAGCCTGCTTCCGTTAACAAAACTTCGATTTTTTTATTTTTTATTTTCTAAGTTATGATGGGCGATCTCAAAGCTTGGACTCGACACACCAGTCCATCATGTATCTTTTCCAGCTAATGTACCGACATGTATCGGAAAATAATCCCCATCGGTTTTTGTTAGTAAAATTGTTTTAATTACAATGAGGCATGATAGGCTCTCGCCTAGCATTAAGCATGATAAATGCTTGTTTACGGGTCGTCATTGTGTTTAGGAATCAATATTGTGAAAAGCATTTTCGCTTTATCTATCAAAGAGTTCGTACGGTCGGCTAATGACAATCGGCAATGTTCCGTGAGCTGGGGCTACCTGGCCATGATCACCGGCTTTTGGGGTCTAGCTCTTTCTTCTTAACCAAACGAAACCGTCAGAATTATCGACCATGTAGACTTCACTGATGATGAGACCCAGACGATAAACCGTCAAACCCGATGCAAATAAGTCTTTGCCCATATATTTTTTTTAAAGTCCGCCTATCATTTTTCTTTGTTCATTTATTTTGGTCCAACGCTTTTGGTCACTGCTCGAGTATAATTCAAAAGGCACCGTTCATGAATCTTGACGGGGTTATGAACAATCTAGGTGCGTCCTTCGTCACAGGCAGAAGATGGCTCATTCCATTGAAGTCAACACTCACTTTCCTCTCGGAAAGTCCCTCCTCCGCTCAATTATCAATACTTAAAAATAATTGAAAAGTCAACGGAGGCATGACAATTCGATAATACTATTTCCTCCACATAAACCCCCCCTAGATGTAACAGAAAACGAAGCAAGTTTTGTAGCAGGTTTTTTTCATTAAGAAAAAGAGAAGAAAATCAAGTTGGGGAACAAAATGAACTCAATGATAATTAACTGCAGATCACATTCGATGGTTTTCTTCTTCGGGGAAAGTCAAAGGGAACAAAACACGAGTCCTAGAAAATTCATACGAGAAATGCTCCCCGAGGTTGAATTTGCAAGGAAATGAATGAATTTTAAAGGCGGTTACGAGGAATGCTCAACTGATGCAGTGCTCAACTGATGCAGCTCCGTCGACAAAGGAGGAAAACCAAAAGCACATAATAATGCGAAAATTCATATAACCCTTTTTTTTTTCACTTCATTAAAGAATAATGAACTAACTTCGTTGACTAAAACCTTGTGAGATGTATTGATCTTGAGATCTGAACATGGCACCGTCATCTGCCTCCTTAACCAAACGAGAAGCGATGTTTGTATAGATAAACACCGCAAAGAATGCTCAAATTCCCACCGAAAAACACCATGCACATAATCACCCGAAGATCATCATTATCATCGTCGCCGTCGTCCCTCGATTCGCGTGTCCTCCTCATAATAACCGCGACTTCAGCGCTCTCTCTCCTCGTGCTTCTCCATCCAGACTCCTCCCTGCTCCTCCTCGCCCCTCGCAGCTCAAAGCCCCTCGTGAAGCCGAGGTTGCCACCGCCGCCATCGTCGAATGGCACAGCAGAGGCTCGGACAGAGCGGAAGGCCGAGTTGGATCAGTCGAGAATCGCAGTCTGCTTGGTGGGAGCAGCGCGGCGGTTCGAGCTGACCGGGCCGTCCATCGTGGAGCACCTACTCAAGGGGCATCCCAACTCGGATCTGTTCTTGCACAGCCCGTACGACAAGAACTCGTACAAGCTGCTGCTGCTGAAGGGGTCGCCGAGGATCGCCGCCGTCCGCATTTTCCGTCCCCAGCAGATTCGCGAGACCGAGTCGCAGGCCCGAGTTCTCACCGGACTCAACTCCCCCAGTGGCATTCAGGTCGGATGGTTTCGTTTTTCTTCCCCCACTAGCTCTTGCTTGTTTCTGTCTTGATTCTCTAATTGCACTTGTGCACCATTTGACTTTTAGACAAGTGATGGAGTTTTTTTTCTTTATTCTTTTTGCCATAGGCTAGTTGTACATATGGAGTTTGCTCGAAAAATAAAAGATAAAATACCTTTTTTGTCAGGTTAGCAGATGGTTGTTATATACTAATCCATTTAAACTAGTTAGTTAGCAGGCACGGCCATGTGTATATTTGTAAGTTGTGTGTTATTAATAACTCATTAATATGAGATGAGATGTTACAGAAAAAGATGAGATTTCGTAGAATTAATATAATAATCTTGTAAAAGAGTGTCATGCTTTATGAAGGTCTATGATTAATATACTTTGCAGAAAGAAAAAGGCTATGATGGTTGCCTGAGCATCTATAATAAAATGCAAATAATTTTTTAGTGAACAATAAGAGGCTATATCTAAATATGCTTGTTCGAGGGGGAAAATTGAATAAAATATAAGTGATCTAAGTTTTAATTAACCTGCAAAATAATATTTTTTTATTTGCATATTTTATTGCAAGTTTGAAATAAGTATTATTTTTTTGTAATATTAAAATAATGGGAGTTATTATTTCAGTTACTGTCCCAGCAACAGTTTAATGAATCGTGTTATTGATTAGTTATAATTTATTAAAATTATTTTATTGCCCAAACCAAGTGATTCTATTTATTCAGTCTAATTTTTTACTAGATTAAATAAAATTACTCACAAAAATTGAATTACGTTTTAGTCAACAACAGCATAAACATTTAGAGTGGCATTTGAATGTCTTAAGTTTTTTTCATTTCAACTTTTCTCTCTAACTATCTTGATTCCAAGCTAAATGAATTTGCCAACTAAGTAAGTCAACAGTAATGAGAGAGGCTATATTTGAAATTCAAAGAGTAATCACTTTAAGCGACTGATATTTATTTTTGCAAGTAAGATTTAATCAAGTAATGTAAGTTACAGATTCAAATTATAGACAATATAACTATTATATGGGGCATAACATTTTAAAAATAAATGCTTTTTCAAAAATTCATGTTGCATTTTTTTTACTAACGAGATAAGCTAATCATCACTTAAAGATATTTTTATTTATTTCTTCGAATTTAAACTCAAATATTTAGGTTAATAAAACCTGTATAAGTTGAATCAGTAGATTAAATTTTACAAACATTTTCACTCAATTGCAGGGCCTTCTTCAATACTTCAACTTGGTCGAAGGTTGTCTCAACATGATCCGAGCCTACCAAACCCAGAACAACTTCACCTACGACTGGATAGTCCGAACCCGAGTGGACGGGTTCTGGACCGCCCCGTTGGGCCCCGAGAACTTCGTGCCGGGCACATACGTGGTCCCGCAGGGCTCCAACTACGGCGGCCTCAACGACCGGCTCGGCGTGGGCGACCTCGCCACGTCGATCGCCGCCCTCTCCCGCCTCTCCCTGATCCCGCGGCTCGACGCGGCCGGGCTCCGCCAGCTCAACTCGGAGGCCGCGTTCCGGGCCCAGCTCCGGGCCCAGCGCGTGCCCCACGTGGCGAGGCGCGTGCCCTTCTGCGTCGTCACGGACCGCCGCTACGCGTTCCCCCCGACCCGCTACGGCGTGCCGGTGGCCGCGACGTCGAGCCGGGGACCGCTCAGCGGGGCCAAGTGCAGGCCGTGCACGGCGGCGTGGCGCGGGTGATGCGGCCGATGTACAGGTGGTGGAGCTGGACCGACTGGGAGGACGGGAGCCTCCAGCTGTGCGACGCGCGCGGCGCGTGGGAGGAGGGGTGGGAGGGGACGTTCGACGGGGTGGCGGGGGAGGAGGCGGCGCGTGGGAGGAGGAGGATCGGGGGCCTGAGGCTGGAGGACTGCGTGAGCGAATTCGAGGACTTGAAGGGCCGGACTGCAAATTGGGACGCGCCTCCCGCGAAGGAAATATGTAGTCTGGGCCTGGCGAGGGGATAGTATATAGTCCAACGAAAAATCACATCCTTTTGATGTATTTTTTGGTCACCGAAAATTACATTTTTCGACGTTTATTTATTTTCCCGCATTAAAAAGGGAAAATAAAATAAAAATAAAATCATATAAGAAACTCATGAAAAAGTTGTACATGCTTAGGAGTCCCTGACCCAAAAAATGCAAGACCAAGCGAAACATTCATAAGGAACCGGAAATCTCTGCGACCAAATCGGAATTACTGAATGTAAGACTGGCCGGTGATGTCGAGGTCCCGGTCCCCGGTCGAGGGGGGCGGCCTGTGCTTGGGCTGGACCGGCGGCCCGACCGGCCCGTCGGCGCTCTGCGTGTCGCTGGCCGGCGGCCGCTCCTGCTGCTGCTGGCCCTGTCGATCGTCCGTGCCGTACATCCCGCCGCCGTAAGCGTCGTGGGTCAGCGGCTTCAGGGGCGTCATGTGCGGCGGCCCGCTCCGGCTCTCCTGCTCCTGCTCCGGCTCCGGCTCCTGCTCCTGCTCCGTCCTCTGCATCTCCCGTAGATCCTCCATTTTGGCTTCGGTTTCTCGGATTATTGATGAATGGCGTATGCGTGTAATTGGGACTTGCACCGTAGAAGCCCCAACTTTATACGTCCGAAGGCTGTACTGACACGTGTGTGCTGTTGCTGATGTGACGGGGCTACTTTGCTGCCACGTGCCACTTTGACGACCGCGTCCGAGCTTCGCGAGCGGGCATGTACACCGAACGCCTTATGTTTATCGCATAAAATATTTTCTCGAGTTTCGGACTGGCGACTCGGCTTGATCTTCATTTATTTTACACGTTCATTTCTATTTCTTTTTCTCTGCACTTTTCCAAATAGAGTTTTTCAATATGGGTTCGAAATCTAAAAAGGGAAATTGACATTAACGGATTTTGAACTTTAATAACAGTAATATTGTTTTAGGACTTTATATTTGTTTAATGGGGTCCACAAAATATGGGTAATGTTCAATTTAGTTTCTAAACTGCATGAATTTATTCAATGATGTCCTCATGTTAATTCGAGTTAATGAAATCCGTTGACGTCATTTCTAATTCATTAAGTTTGAATGGTTGTCAAGAAAAAAAAACGCGTTAATCTTCTACCGTAAGATATTCATCTCAAATCAGGAAAAGAAATTTTCATGTGAAATATTTGAAGCCCCTATTTTTATTTCCTTTTCTAAAGTAGATGGACATGCTCACTCGTCATTTTAAAAAATTCAACTCAACGTGTAGTAATCTCTTATAGTAGCATTCAATAGGAATCCCACCCCAAGACGTAGGGTATACGAGTTTGATATATTGTTCGAGCATGGACTAAATTGAACATTTACCAATAGTTCGGAGACTATACCGACCAAATTAAAGGTACAGAAAGGACATTATACATTGGATACAAGTTCAGAGATAATTTTCCATCTAAAAATAAGTACACTTGATTAATTTGTTCTTATAAAACATGCCAACGCGGCATATTTTCTCAATAAAAGAGAGATTCTATATAAAATTTCTTATCTATTTATGTAATCAACAAAAGGTCAACTATTTCTAGCGGTTGGTTTTTTCTCACTCTTGGAGTAAATGTTAGTAGTTTGTTTTTGGATTAATATCACGAAAAATCTCAAATTGGTACGCTCGTAACAAATTTACTTCAAACTAATTTTTTGACCACCAAAAACCTCAAACTGGTACACCCATAATAAATTTACCCTCCATTAGTTTCCGTTAAATTTTATTGTCAAATTGCTTTATCAGATGACACATGAAAGTTGACGGATATACAAGTTTGGGGTTTTACCCTTCGTTTGTCACATGTGTACTAATTTATGATTTTCCGTGATATTAATCCAATTTAACAGAAACTAATGGAGGGTAAATTTGTTACAAATGTATCAGTTTGGGGTTTTTGATGGTCAAAACATTATTTTAGGGTAAATTTATCGCGGATGTACCAGTTTGGGGTTTTTTGTGATATTAATCCTTTTTTTTTTTCGCAACTCAATTGAAGAATTCCCTCATATGCATGTACTTATCTATTGTTTTTTGCCCAATAATAATCCAAGTCTCTAAGGTTTAGGAACACCCATATAAATACAAGTGCGCACACGTCTACTCCCTTTAAATACTTCTTCGTAATTAGCAGTTCGAGCTTTGCAAATTCATTGCGAAATTCATCTGCGGAATCTACGGATGCATTTGCGTTTGAATGCTGTTTACCAGGAGCACTTTCTAATGAAATCATTTTAAACAGAAAGGAGAGAAAGCAAAGAGAAAAGGTACGGCAAGTTGATGATGGGCCGATGCGAGAAACTCGGACAGGGAACATTTCCAAAGCAGCGGGGGGCACTGCCGCTGGATAACAAAAAGCTAGGAGAAATCCAAGGTCTGAATTAATTTCCTCCCTTTTTTCTTTTTTTCTCTTTCAAACCAATAATGATACTCCCTCATCATGGGCTCGTTAAAAGAGCTTTGTTTCTTCTTGCCTAACGTTATGATTCGGCAAAAGCGGGGCTAAGGCAATCGTAACGGTGCGGTTTTTATCAAAAGTCAAAATGATTGTCGCATGGAAAGTTGTACATCCATCGAATATAGGCCGGTGAGTAATAACATGAAAATTGGCGAGATTGTAATGTAATAATGTAATGCAAACGAAAAGGGGTTCGACCCACCCCCATAATTAAGTTCTCCGTCTCTCGCCAGAAAGAAGCCACCGGAAAAGTACACGAACGTTTCATATAATAAGGTAGCGATGTCCCCCATCATGGGGATTTTGAATCTGAACCCCCCTAGGTCTCTCCTTAAAAGGAGGTCTAAGCGGGATTCCGACTCGACCGACCTTTGTCCGTTTATAGTGTTCTCTCCCTCGACTAGTCTATTTAATCGAGCACTACCATACACATACTCGAAATCGGTCTACAAAAATGATATATATGGTAAATTACGTGTCGGACTTTAGCTAGGAGTGGATCCTTAAAGTGGTTTTGTTTAATCAAACGAGCCATACTCAACGACCCATTAATATATGCCCGACAAATAACTTAATATGCCAATTTAGTAATTTAATCGCAGCGTGCATAACGTTTCCCTACTCTCGATTTTTCGCATTAGAAGAACCCAGTAGTAGAAAGGTGGAAATCCAGATGACAACACCAAAAGGAGTTGCGTTTGCCCGTGCGAAGAATAAGAATAAGAATAAACCATATACCATACCATACCATATACCGGTTCGTAGGACCACTCTCTCCCCCCGCCACCTTTTTCCCTCCTGTTCTCGTTTTTAACGATTCCTGTTTCACAAGACTGTTAAGGAGATAAACACACTTCATTAATCACGGATTCACAACGTGCGATGCATCACCCAACTTGTTCTGTTCGTTAATAAAGCTTTGTTGTCTTCTTCGCTTCGCTTAATCCCCACTTCCTCTCCCCTCATTTTAGGCGTTCATGTTTCGCGTCAGATAATACGAAAAGCTGCTGGTGCTGCATCAAAAGCCTCGAACCCAACCCCATGTTGCGTCACTACAAAACAAAGTAAAACCCTCCGTCCATCCTCCTTCCTCTCTGCCCCTCCTCCCACTTTTCGCTTTTCACCGCCAGCAGAAAGCCCTAAAGCAGCCGGAGCAGCGGAGGAAAGCTCGCTCTGGCCGCCGTCTCCGACGTGGCAGTTCCAGTAACCGAGCTTTAGCAGTGGGTGTTCCGAGTGGACACGTGCCGCCCTCATGGGATGCAGCAGCTCCAAGCTCGACCGCCTGCCCGCCGTCTCCCTCTGCCGCGACCGGACCAATCTCCTCGAGGACGCGCTCCACCGTAGCTACGCCCTCGCCGACGCCCACGTGGCCTACCTCCACTCGCTCCACTCGTTCGGCGCCGCTCTCCGCCGCCTCTCCGATCAGTGTCCCCCCCGAGCCGACGGCAGGAGATCATCGGAGTCGCCCGCTCACGTCGCCGGCGCCGCGGCACCGCCCGATCACTCCCCCTCCTCCTCCTCCGGCTCGACCTCCTCGTCTGGCTCCCACATCCACTTCGATGACTCCGAAGACGACAACGACGACAGCACCGACAACGTCACCAGCTCGACCACTCCTCTTCTGGCGAGCGACGCCCGCGTCGTCGGCGAGCACGGCGATTACTACAATCCGGAATCGTTGAATCCGTTCTTCGAGAGATTCATGTCGATCAGTTACATGAAGAATCAGCCTACTCAATCCATTACTCACACTCTCCCTGTTTACGATCATTACAGCGACCATAACGAGACCAGTCAGATCTTTTATTATCGTTCTTCACAACACGATGGCCATTCGGTGTCCAAAGCGCCTCCGCCCCCACCTCCGCCGCCACCGAGCGACTCGACGTGGGACATTCTGAATTTCTTCGACGGGTACGACGGATACGCAGCGCCCGTTGCTAGTCACGACAGAGCGAAGGAAGAGAGCAAAGTTCTGAAGGAGAATACTCATGGAGATCATGGAGGTACTGGTGAGGGAGTGGAAGCAGGACACAGGGAGCACGTAAAGAGTAATTACTACGTTAAAGCGCCTTCAGTTTCGGTGTCGGAGAAAGTTGAACCAAAAGAGAAGTGCAGCTATTCGGCTGAACCGAAAGATGGCGGAAGCGGAAGAGACGTGTCCGAGATCGTCAAAGAAGTCGAAGGTCTCTTTAAAACGGCTTCGGAGTCCGGCGACAAGGTCTCAAGATTGCTCGACCTTGCGAAGTTTCGTTACCACCACAAAAACGGCGTCTACCAAGGTAATATCTGCGAACTAAAATCAAGGATTATTTGCGTGATCTTGATTACTTTTCTCAAAAAAGAAATTATTAATGGGAGTTCGAGCAGATAGTGTGTACACTCATCACACTAAGTCATCTTAATCATCAACCGGGCTACGTTGGATTATGCTAAAAAGGACAATCAAATCACATCGTTATCGATTCTGTCCCTCACATTAGTGAAGGGTGGAGTAACCCTACTTAACAAGTTCCTTAATGACAGTTCCGAGCAAGACGACGTTGCATGCGATAGCCACGTCGCGAGCAAGCCTCACTGCGAAAGCCGAGGGCGCATCTGCGAAAGGGGATGGGGACCGCGACGGGGATGCGGTGGTGGGCTCGCCGGGGAATTTCTCGGGCACCTTGAAGAAGCTGTGCATGTGGGAGAAGAAGCTCTACAATGAGGTCAAGGTTAGTCTGAAGGGTATCATCTTTTGTTATTCTCGCGTCAGTGTGTTCAAGTGGAGTTGCTTTTGAATTGAATCTCGCTTTGGCTTTTGCCCTTTTTATTTTCCCTTTCACTTTGCTTAGCTTTTCCTTTTTGTCATGCTTATGGGGGAGGTTTTCGCTTTTGTATTTCTTCCTTCGGCCATGCATGTTTTACTCTACATGGGTCTCCAGGCCAATCGTTGTCAGGTATTAAAGTTGTTAACAAAAGAGTGTACGAATGGATTTTGATGTTCCCCACAGTTTCACACTCAGGAATTTTGGTGGGTCTAGACTAAGATGCGAGGCGATAAATACGAATTAAATCTCACTTATTAAGTCAATCGATTAGGACCGATTAAAATCGGCGTGATCAATTATATTCTCGAGTTAAATTCGCATTGAATAAATCTTTTTACCATAAGAGGGTATTCAAGTTTTGCGTGTGGAGAGGATCAACCCGGGTAAAAAGCATATGTGGAATACATTGTTTTGCTTCAGTTTTCCTGGACATTCATGACGTACTAAGCTCAAAAAATGGGTTGACTCCGAGGTCAAACTGGCTAGTTTAGTTCCCATGTTATATTTGGTCTAAAGTAAACCCAATTAAAAAGGTGCTTAGGGCAGAATCTTGAATAAGAAAAAGCCACATATTCTTCTGCAGAATTAATCAATTTTTAATTTAGATTCCTCTCTTGGCTCTTACTTTATCCAGAAATTTATATGACGGGCTAAGATGAGAAAGTCACGAGGCTTTGAGGTGTTTTTGCATGTGTATATTTAATTAATAGAAGATAATACAATTTATTATACTACTTTTCTTATTAGGCTGAGGAAAAGTTGCGAGTAATGTATGGGAGGAAGTGTAGGGAGCTGAACCACATGAGCAACAAAGGCGCCGACGCGGGCAAAATCGACGCGACTCGGGCCATGATCCAGGCATTGTCCACGAAACTGCAGATGGCAATTCATGTCATTCACAAGATTTCAGTCAAAGCGAACAAGCTCAGGGACGATGAGCTCTGGCCTTGGATCCACCAGCTCGTTCATGGGTACATACATGTCTCGACTCTATTGCTCCTTCCAACTCTTACGTGTTTGGAAAATACTACTATTTAAACTCGTTTTATTAACTCAAAGTCAGTTGAGAACTTCGATTAGAATCTTCAAAAACGTGTCTTTATAATGTATATCCTATATCGTGATTGATTCTATTCACCGTACTTTTTCTTTCTTTCTGTCTCAAAGATGGTTGGAGATGTGGAAGTCTATGGAAGAGTGCCACAGGGGTCAGTACAAAGCAGTTGCGAAAGCAAAGAACTTGGATTCAATTTTATCCACCCCGAGACAAAATGATGCGGACCATCTTCAAGAGCTCGTCCAGATCAAGCTTGAGATTCAGAACTGGACCTTATGCTTCTCCAACTGGGTCTTTGCCCAAAAGGGTTGCATCAGAGCTTTAAATAGCTGGCTCATGCGATGCCTCCCGCACGAACCCGAGCAGACACCTGATGGAGTTGCCCCCTTCTCTCCCGGCAGGATTGGAGCGCCGCCAGTTTTCGTGATCTGTAACCAGTGGTCGCATTCTCTGGACAGGCTCTCTGAGAAGGAGGTTGTCGACGCAATGAAAGAACTTTCACTGACCGTCAATAAGATCTACGAGCAACACTACACGACACTGCAGCAGAAAATTACAGCAGACAAGGAAATGGAGAGAAAGGTTAAGTTCATAGAGAGGAAGGAGCAGAAGATTCACAAGGAGATGCAAGCCAAGGACCGATCTGCGGTATTGAAGTTTCGGCAAGATTCTGCTGCTCCCCTAAGCGCTCGAGGTGAAGTTACAACTGGGAGTAGCGCACAGTCACGTCTCAAGCACATTTTCAAGGCCATGGAGATTTTCTCAGCAGATTCCGTGAGAGCATGTGAAGAGCTATGTACACGCGCCAAAGAATACCCGCATTCTCGCCAAAGCTCAAAACGTTTCTGATCATAAAGTCTCCCAATGTCCCTCTATTTGGACACGTGAACAAAAAACATGTATTCTTATTGCATGCTTTTAGCTACGCTGACATAATAAAGCTTGCAGAGGGCAATATTTATGGTGCTCGTGCTTCAATAATATACAAAGTGGTATGGGAAAGAGGTGCTTTTATGAATGCTGTGGTTTTAAATTTTGGTCAGAAAAATTTGATAAAGTGGTCACCAATGGGGTACCGGGTAGAAGGGACCAACCGTAAATTCTGTGTGTTCGTTTCCTTCAATCTCATATAAACAAAATTACACGACATACAGCTTTGGCTTTTCCATAGATGGAGAGGCTCGTGAACTGTTTTCTGTCAACAGTTTCTTCCTCTTTAAGGATTTGAGCAAGCTTGTGGAGGATGTCAAAGTGGGTGGTGATGATCTGTTTTGCTCTTGTATATGCCCTGTCCACCAATTCCCTCACCTCTGCATCTACCCATCTGCAGTTGCCATCGAATAAGCCTTCTGGGTAGACATTTGCACGCGAAATACTATAGGTCTCAGCAGTTGCCATAGAATAAGCTTTCTGGGTAGACATCTGCCCGCGAAATACTATAGGTCTCAGCGTGATTCGGGTGGGTTAAAGTCCAATTGCTCATACTAGATAACTATGTAAGCACGTAAGCACCGAAAATGAAGTTGCTTCAATGAGCATGCACACCTGCTTACCCAAGAAGGGATTTCCACAAGGTCCACCAATGGCTGTTTGTCCAGTCTTTTTGCATAAAGTCATTGGAAGCTCCTGATGTAACATTCTCGGTCCCAAATATCACCTCCTCAGTGACCCTGCATAATAGAATTGCGAACCAGTCATCAGAATTGGCGACTTCAATTGGAGTGCAACGGCCATCTGATTCTCGAGATAGCTTCTTCTGAATAGCCCAGACTCAAGTCTCTCTTCACTTGGAGCAAAAAAGATACGACCTCAGGCTTGGCCACGGGGGATGACGGATATCTTGGCTACAGGGTCATATTCAGGCATCAGCGCACAAACTGAAGCATGCCCACCTCTGCAAAATTTTCATCATACAGTCAACAGCCATAACTACATTATAGCAGAGGTATAAAACAGGTAAAAGAAAAGGTTGTTGCCATATATACCATAATAAGCAACTAATTTCATTCTGCAAATCAGCCCCCAGTCAAACCCAGAGTTCACCGCGCAATCTTTTCAATGTCAACACCCTTTGCAAGTGACTTTCTTCAAGAATGCACCTGCCACGAAAAGGAGCTCAATCAGGAAACTGCTTGATAGTAAACTGAGGTCAGTACCACACTAGTGTTCCAGAGGTGTTCGGCAAAAGTTCATAGCCAATTCACCTTATTATTCAACTTTAGCACTTCAACTCCACTACTAAAGCAAAATAAACTGTCAACACCATTCATGTTACTCAAACCCATAGACCTCGCCCAAAATTGATATCACCGCCTTCAAGTCCTGAAAATACTTAGCAACAACATCTGATATGGCATCTCATACAAATATGCCAACGAAATAAAGCAACAATATAGCTAACCTGAAAGATCTTCACTCTTCCAGCAACATCAGGCCTGTCCCCGGTAACCTGCTGATCAAACCTCCCAGTTCTCAACAAAGCTGAATCAAGAACATCTGGCCTGTTCATAGCTGCCAATACTATGACACCTGAATTCCCCGAAAAGCCAACCATCTCAGGCAATAGCCGATTGATAGTTTGCTCGCTCTCATCGTTCCCTCCTCCAAGACCAGCTCCCCTCTGCCTCCTCACTGCATCAATCTCATCAATAAACGCAGTGCAAGTCGCTTTCGACTTTGCCTTCTCAAACAAGTCCCTGACTCTTGAAGCACCGACACCCACAAACAACTCCACGAACTCAGATGCCGCACATGAGAAGAACGGCATGCCGGCCTTGCTGGTCACCACCCTTGCCAAAAGGGTCTTGCCGAAAGGGAGTATTCATGCAGCCCAATATGACAGTCCACAAAGCAGCAAGCACACTGAGACCAAACCGAGACCAGATAGTGAATCCATATGTAACATTTGGGCCTAAAAGATGTTAACTCTTCAAGTAAATCATTCTTCCTTTCCTTTCCTTTTTTTTTTTTTTTGGTTTACTAATCCGATCATCGGTTTTTTTTTCCATCAATCCATCTTATTTTCAAATTTAAAATAACATCCTTCAAACTGTCGAAAACTGAGGCATGAGTTCTCACTATTGAAAGAGAGTCAACTCCATGAGTATAGATCAGATACGTCTATTGACCTTCTATAAGGTACCAAATAAAGCAACTCAAATAACTGCAGAAGCAGCACCTTTTTCGCATTATTAGGCAATTAAAAGATTGCTAAACAGAATGGTCCTTGAACCTCTCTAGGGTTTAATTGTTTGCAAGGAACCAGAGTACACTCAAGTCCTCGTTTTAGATTTTCTTTTTCCTTTCCATAATCTCCGAACATAGTGCTGAAGCTTTTCCAACGTGTACATCTGTTAACAGACAAATGGAAAGTACGCCTGCTTGATACAAACATGAGAACAGATGCCCAGAGCACTAGGTTTACCTTCAGAAGGTGGATGTGCCTTGAAGCAAGCAATGTTGAGATGTTCGTACTTGCCAATCAGCCAACGGATCCTGTGTGAAGAGAGGGAAGAGTTGGTCGCATATAAACATTAGCTGTGAAACTGAGTCCTCTTTGCAGCATAACATCCATTGAGATATTTAAACTCGATCAGCTGAGCATATAGAAATATATTGACTTGACTTCAGAAACTTGCGAACCCAGCTGAGAAGTGAGTTCTTTGAAAAAAAATATTCCAATTGGGATTTGAGGGACATTTAGCAGCAGTGGATCACAAATGGCAACCTTCGCCGCCTTATTTCAACACCATGTCGAGCTGGTAACAATTTGTCGCAAAGATAGGTGAATGAACATGATAATTACAATTAGCTCACGATTATATAGGTCTCAATAGAAGAAGAAATGGCAACGAAGACCAGTTTTTTGCCGATTTATTTTGTTTAAGCAAAAGTTCGATGCCATAGTCTTATCAAACAATCAGTAAGTATGCTTGAATCCTGCCAAATTATTTATTGAGCCACCTTTGAGAGACCCAATTCCAAAATAGCAGTAGGGAAAGCGTCGCGCATAGAATGTACCTGAGAGACATTACGTGAAAGTGGTGGCTCAGCCGATGTGGCAGGAACTGTACTGGCACTGGGCTGATTTGGGGCGACATCTGCCGTGCTGGCACTGAGAGCTGCTCCGCTTCATCGATGGCTCGGACAAGCATGAACTTGTAGGGGGATGACGAGAAGTTATAAAGTGGTCATAGCGAGGCAGATGATCTGGCGACAACACGACTAATGCAGCTTGAGGAGAGATGTGCTTAACATGGCACCAGGTGATACTGGTGGTGCTCGTAAAGGGTTGTAGTATTTTTTTGCTAGAATATGTAGGGTTGTAGTTGAATTGGTGGATAGATGGAAATAGCACGACATGAAATGACAAACAGTTTCAGCAACAACCATTGGAAATCAATCAACAGTCCTGCAATTTTTAGATCCAAGAAATGTTTAACAAAATTCAGAAGACTAATCATGGTAATAACAAGTAGCACATCATTATATGATTACAAACTCAGAAAAAAACTGCCTCTGGGTCCTTTTTTTTTTTTTTTGGTCACATTGGGTCTTTTCTTTTTCTGGAACAAACTTATAAAAAAACTGACTCTGGCAAGACTCAAATTTTATCTACCAACTTGTTAGTTTTGACTAAAAAAGTGACACTACATCCACATGTGTCTCACTCAACCAGACCATTGAGCTCAGTGTCAACCACATTGTCTGCTAAATATAGTCGGCAGTGGACTCCAATAAAACTTGTCTTCGATCCATGAATGGCGACCATAAGGCTTCGGCTAGTCGCACTAGACATAGCAAAGCATGTTATGGTGGTGTTCAGATTTGTGATCTAAGAGAACAACCAAATCAACTAATGATTGAGGCAATATTTGAGAGCTTAAACTGGGGTTTTACAATCCTCTGGACACTGGAGCTGTACTGATGATGCTATCTTGGCACTCTTCAATAAAACCTCAAATTATTTACATTTTTTTTGCCTCTTCCATGACTCCAGTCATAAGTCATTTACTTTAACAAAAAAAAGTTCGACCAAAAAAATATTAACAAAAGAGAGAGAGAGAGAGAGACTGTAACAAAACTGTTGCTGCTTTCTCCTCACTTATAAAGTTATCCTTTAGCTTTCACACTTCTTTGAAATTTTGTGACAACCTCAGGAGAAGCGGGTATCTGAGAAACTCAAAAGAACCAGGTTTTCGTATTTATCACTAGCTCCTTGTCCTCAGAACAAATAGACTTCAAAAACTCATAGATCAATGCTGCATGATATCCTGAATGCGAACTCAAAATTGTCCTACACTTACCAGCTCATCCAGTGTCATCAGGTTTGAACAGGAGACTGCCATCTTACATGAATTCTAAATCGTCTTCCCGCTGTTCCAGAACAATAGTGGCTAGAGCAAGTCTATATGCTGAAGACCTCATATTCCTGACTAAAACATATATCTCCCTTTTCCTCCGTTCCACAGACATCTCAGTCCACTGCTCCTCTCTAAGATGAGCTAGATAGTTTACCTCGCAAAAAGCTTCTGCTGTCGGCTTCTCGCTGAATAAGAAAAAAAAAACCATTATCGCATGCAGTATCACAACAGTTTGGAAGCATGTGCATTATATCCGCAGAAATATTTTTATGCCTTAAATTGAAATAATAGTTCAGGAAAGGATGTTCTCCAACCTTCCCCGAACGAATCCCGTTGTGACAAATCCAATAGGCCAACGGTGACTCTCTTTAGCAATTGGGTCCTCTGGCACTTGGATTTCCCATTCCCCAGGACAAACCTCTTTGAAGTATGATGCTGCGGCTGATTGTGGCATTTGTAGACCAATTTCATTGTCTTCTAGCCTGCATCAAGCGCAGCATACAAATCTGAAGCATACGAGAGAGAAAGAGAGAGATCCTCAAGGACAGATTCGAGAAGGCAAATTAATGGCATGGCAAGCAGAGGCTCATTTCAGATGAATAAGCTAGAACAGTAAAAAGCCAATAAAGTAAGTCCAAATCTTTGGATTGAGGAGATATGATGATAAAAAAGAAATGCTTCTATTGATGTCTCACCTTGCAAAGTTAACACCTTCACTTATTCCCTCATCCATCAGGAAAAACAAATCAAACCCTCTAAGGGTGAGTTTTTAAAAATTTCGAAAAGCAGCTTTGGCTTCTCAAAGTGATTTAGTGAAAGTAGGTGGCTGCTTTGGACTGTGGGCGTGAAATGCAGGCTTTGGGGTCAAGAATTTCTAAAGAATTTTTACCAAGCACCAAAATTTTCAATCAAAAGACTTGAATTTTGAAACTGCATTTCAAAATTTTCCCAAACTCTCAACATGAGAAAGATGTATTTGCACCCATCAAACTGGACTGGTGCAAACATCATATCCTCCTACTTTATATTCTCTAAAAACATATAGATAACACGGTCTAAGAAAAATCGAGAGATAATAACAACCAGACTGGATGCAGCAAACAATGATGAGAGAAACTTCTAGAAAAGTATGATAATAAAATTGAGAAAAGTAAAGACCTCAAAGCCCTTGATGATATATCAGTGAAACGAGGTGCACATACAATTGCTCCTTCTTCGAAGAAACCTTCCTTTAAAGCATGCAGTATCACCCTTAGGAAACCTAAGTCATGACGAGCCATGATTCGAGAGCTCCCATTTGCCAATCCGCCAACATTGCTCTTGTCCTTCAAAGCCTTCAAGAAACTTTTATCGCTTGCCATTTTGTGAGGAAATAAAAATGAATGACCACCGTAGTTATCTTCAAGGAAGCAGGTCAACTCCTTGTTTGTCCTGACTACAGAACCCCTAAAACCACACGTATGATCTTGGAGTCTGGATGATGTCACGCCTGAGCTACTATTTGTCAAGCTTGATGGAGCACTGCTGCTGCTTGTTCTTCTTTCACTGGAGATCAGAGTATCTACCCCAGCAGTATATGCTTTGTCAAAAGGGCAAATAGCACTCCATGGTGGTGGAATGGGAACTTTTAGAGCCCTGACTGCAGGAGGATGGCGCTCTGCTTTTGAATGAGAAGCAGCAGCTTCGATTGCCATAAGGGATGTATATGCATTGCAATCAGGATAATCCCATGGAAAGTAGGGCAGGTAAGCCTGCCAAATGACAATTGTATGCTACTATTAACAACCTACCATAGTAGATAACATATTTCATGCTTCAGAACTTACATTGTTTGCAATCCAGTGCTTCTCCCTCAAACCTATTGCATGAGCCCCCTTGGAAATAAGAGGAATCCAAAAGGCCTTCACCCAACTCAAGGGGAGTATGATTGACCATCTAAAAAGAACAAGACAATTATGAATTCATCTTTTATATGAAGAGCGTTCTACATGGCGTTGGAGAAAAATGGGAGTGGCAAATAATCATCACATGCACACACAGGCAGCCCATTGCAACCTCCTAAGGAGGTCCTTGAGCTTGGATATCCACATCAGAGGATTGTCTCATTATCGCCTTATGTTATTGCATAGACTAATTAACACATGAAACTACTTGACATTCAAAGCCATAATCCGGAAGAAGCTAAATAATCATTATTGCTGAGGATACAATAAGAGGAAAAAAGAAGACTAATAGGTTGGAAATGACAAATAGCTACAGAGCAGCTCCAGCACTTATCATTAATAATTTCTTTCATTGGACGATTATCAGATAAGCCAAGCACAAGGTCAAGATCTTTTCCAATTCAGACTAAAAGATTACATAAATTCTCCAAGAAAATCTCTCCAATGATGAATAAAAATGTAGAAAATCACATTACAGCTGCCTAGATAGGCGTGACGTACTTTCAAGCGAGCAAAAGATGTCCAGATTCCTCAAAGAAGAAATAAGAAAATAAAACAAAAGAAGAACCTATAGCAAGCCTTTGTGTAAAGAACCTCTGCAGCTAAGCATCCCCTTCATCGAGATGTCTTATAGAGCAACAGGCCAGAAACTAATCATGGCATCAAGAGATAAATTTAATTACCCTTTAAGACGGTCATCGGCACTCCCATTTCTTAGAAGCATTAAAGGGCAGGATCTTGAAGACTGCGACCTATGTAAAGAATTTGACATCCCGGAATTATAATTATCCAAGCACAAGAAATCCATACGCTTCTTATGCCTCTCCATGTGAAGAACATTCTCTTCAATTGGGGTTCTTATTCCTGAAGCAGCGTCCCACAAACCATGATGTGCCTGTGACAATAGGAGTAAACCTCCGCCTTTGTCCAAAGGTTGTGTCATAGATGGCTGCTTTTCAGTTGCATGTGATAAAACCCCATCAACTGTGCTAACAGCTATTATTTTTGAATCATTAACAGCTTCTTCATCCTTGTATTCCCGAGGGTCCTTGACCATAAGAGATAGAATTGCACGAGAAGGAAAACCATCCTCATTGTGAAGTAAGTCATATTCCATCTTCTTTTTGTCCTTACTAGCCTCGACAGAAGAATGCTTCTTCAACTGAAAAGGTCGTTCTAAAACGCTGCAAAACCAACCAGAACCATTTAGCCAACTTCAAATAAACAACTAGGAAACATTGGAATTATCACGCTCTTTGATAACTCACTGCTTTATTGGATGTAAAATCTTCTGAAGAAGCTTAAAAGCACCTGATCCCATAACTTCCAACTTTGTAAGATGACCCTCAAGCGAAGAGCAACGGATCAAACTACCCAATTCATCCATCTGCTGTGAAAGAAAGGAAATGATGAAGATGTAGAGAATCATTGCCATACCAGCCACTATTAATTGCTAGGAGCCCAATATTTTAGTGATTTAATAATCAACTTTGAAATTCTAGATTTAACAGAATGAGCAGGAAGTCTTGTCAAGTGGATTAAGTAGTTAGCGCAACACTTAAAATATAAAGCCAAGCATGGTGTGATTTTCTTAAACTTTTTTCCTTTTATATTCTTCCTTTCTTTCGGTAGAAGGGAGGGTAGGGATTTCAATAATCAAGGCAATAATCATAAACAGAAATCTGCTGCGACCTATAAGCTTGACTTTGACTCTTGGAAAAGTGAATATACAATTTTGCTACCACAAATGCCATAGTCCTAATGTACTTCATTGATAAATTGAGTGAAAAAACTATAAGAAAGTGATACCTCCTTTTGACATGCGCACTTTAGAGCATCATATCCTTCGGTAAAGCCTGATACATGTACCCATACCCATAGCCGACGTAATGGAACAGACCCATCGATATTCTCAGGTGCACCTTCCCCATTTAAAGCGCAATCCTGCTGAACTTTACCAGTATTATGCTGGTCCAAATGTCTCCACATATACATAACTGGAGCAATTGGCTTGGAAAGAGGTGTTTGAACATGATGAAGCTGCAAGACAAGACTTAAGAAGTTACTACAGTTGGATCCAAATTCATCATTCGTTTACTTTGAATTCTATTGAACTTATTTACCATAGCCCTTCCATATGTAACACCAGAAAGAATGGACTGAGACATGTCCATTGGATGAGCAGATGGAGATGGAACTAGTACTCTATCTAACACCGAAATCAAAGAATCCTGCAACCATAGAAAGTAATTACTAGTTTTATTATGATATTACTGAACAAAAGAGGAGACTGTTCAGTCCTAAGCTAAAACGATAATCAGTTTGCTTAAGCTGCTAAAGCTTCAATGCAAAAAGTTCTTTCTTATATGACATATATAAATCAGTTAACTAAAGTAACAATATAAACAAGAAATGCGCTCACATATACATAACGACACAAATTATGCAAGTTCAAAGACATAATATGCCACCTCTGGACCCTCCAACTGGACAGCAAAATGGTAACTAGCATCATGGATGACTACTCCTTGCTTATACCGCTTCAAGAGAGCTCTTGAACCCCTCCCTCTACAACACAGAAAAATAAAAATAAATATTTTGAAAAGTCTCGATGCGTATGTCATTCTATGGATTCAGATTCCAGTCGCGTCCATAAATAAACCAGTTTAAGAAGCGGAAAAAAGACAAGTTTCTGTAGACCGAACCCTCTAGGGGAGAAAAAACACCAAGCTTAACATACCCTGTCAATCACTCTAATCCGTTAAAAACAGTGTATCAAGTCATGATAATAGTGATGAAAAAGACAGCCAGATCACCTGCCCAGCAAACCAAGAGGAAGGTAAAAGCCCCACAACTTGGTCATAGTAAACCGCTTCGCATACCAAACATGAGTTCTAAGTCTACTAGTTCCATCCCCAGATGTACAGAAACCACTCTCGGGATTTTGTTTCAGCTCATTTCTGCACCGTACGCGTCGAGGAACTTTGCCTGGAGGTGTAGGATTGGGATCAGCACCAGCCACCTGTGAATCCTTTTGCTTCTTCTTATGCCTTCTGTTGGCCAGTTGGTTGTCATGGGCAGTGGTTCTCCTTCTCTTATTCCTTCGAGAGCGAAAATCATTGCTCAATCTGTTCGCTACGACAGAGTGTAGATTCTCAACTTCAGCAGCTCTAGATTCTGCAAACTTTCTGACGCTGAGAGTTCGAGGAGCCACTGATCTTTTACTTCCATCAGAGCCCATCACCGGCCACAAAATAACCAGAGCACTGTTACTCAGTTCCTGTCAAATAGTTTCGGATTTGAACTTCCAATTGATGTAAAAATTAAACAATGCTAAAAAAAATGATATCCCACATCTTATTTATACTGAAGAAATCATCCTCAAACTTATTACACCAGAAGCCACAGCCAGATGGCGAGGACGTAGTATATGTATCTGAAAACTATTGTTAACTCAACTTCGGACACACTACAACCTCCTAAAGCCGACAGCAGTTGGCCACTCAACAATGCACCAATTCACGACAATAACCTCGATATAAAGGGAAAAAACAGCGTCTAAATTTGCGGCATTCTCGCCATCGTTATGCACTCCAGAGGGACAAAAAGGAAATCCTCCTGAGAGAGAGGTTTGCAGGTAAGAGCAACAGGGGAATAAGCAGTATGATCATACATAATTCTGCCTCCTAGAATTGACAAAGTAAAAGCAATTGCAAAGAAACCGCACTGAAGCACGCTCAAATAGGGAAGCCAAGTAGAGAAGCGCAAGGGGCGGGGGCGGGCCAGGTATCACGCTCCCCGGCCCCATACCGTGCGGCAAACCACCGCCCCGCCATTGCCCCGTGCCCGACGGGCGCTCGTCTCAGCGGAGTAAGGCGGCGCCCCGCGGCGCACCGCCCGGCCCGCCCCTCCCCGGGACACATGGACGATTAAAATTAACAAGCTTTCAGAGGGCAAAGACTACCGTGGAAAAACAAATGCAGCTAAAACTTAACGACGGATTGGACTCAACACATAACCGAACCTGCAATGCTCGATAAGAGATCAAAACAGAGAGGTGAGAGGGCGGCATGCACGCACGGCCGCAATCGCACGGACGAGAAAACACACAGAGAAAGAGAAAGAGACGCTCGCACACTCCTCCTTGAGCTTCAGCGACAGCCGTAGCCGACGGCGAGGCGGCGAGAGAGAGATAGAGAGAGAGAGAGAGATGGACCTTGAGCTCGAGAAGGCGCGGTGGCGTCACCACGGTGGAGGCGGTGCCGCGGCGAGGTGGGCTAGGAAGCGAGACGGACGAGAGGGAGAAGTGAGAGGTGGTTTTTCTTTATAAGGATGATTACAAGTTCTAAAACTCGCACCAAGTCTAACTATTTCGAAAATTTACCATTAAGTCCGACTGTTTTGAAATATGTACAATCAGGTCCTAATTAAGCGTCGGTGGGCGTCCGGCTCCGGTCGCCAAAATTATCAAATATCTCTTACGATTTCGATCGTAATCATGTAAAAATTTTATTTATGATCGATTGTACGACTCGATTATGAAGATCAATTGAAAGCATAGTTTAAATTTCATGCAAAATCAAGGAAAATTATTAGCCCATTGATTCTCGTGTTAAATAATCAAAATTTTCAATTTATAAATCGTGGGTGCTTACAATCACGTAGAGATCACTCTTGAATATCCACTTTATACACCCCTTCTCCTTTTCGTTAAGGGTGAGCACCGGGACCGGACTGGACCGAACCAGGAAAAATTTATAGCCTGATTCACCCAATTATCCAACTTTTTGCACTGCGACTGCACTACTAAGGCGAAATAAACAGTCAAACACCATTCATGTTACTCAAGCCCATCAGACCTCGCCTAGTTCAAAATACTCGGCGACAACGTGTGATCTTGTATCTCATGCAAGCACGCCAACGAAATAAAGCTAACAATATGGCTAACCTGAAAGATCTTGCACTCTTCCGGCAACACTAGGCCTGTCCGCAGCAACTTGCAGATCAAACCTCCCGGGTCTCAACAAAGCTGAATCGAGACCATCCGGTCCGGTTCGTAGCTTCCAATACCATGACACCTGCATTCCCTGCCAAACGATCCATCTCAGGCAATGGCCAATTTATAGTTTGCTCTCTCTCTCTCTCTCTCATCGTTCCCACCTCCAGGACCAGCTCCTCTCTGCCTCCCCCACGGCATCGATCTCTCGTCAATAATTGCGGGGGCAAGGCGCTTTCGACTTCGCCAAGTCCCTGACTCTCGAAGCACCGACGCCCGCAAATAACTCCCATGAGCCCAGATGCCGGCACACGAGAAGAACGGTACGCCGGCCTCACCGACCACCGCCGATGGCCAAAAGGGAGTATCCGTGCAGCCTAATGTGACAGTCCGGTCCACAAAGCAGCGAGCGAGCACATTGAGACCAAACCAAGCCCAGAGAGCGAATCCATATGTAACATATGGGCCTAAAAGATGTTACTCTTCAAGTAAATCATTTTCGGCAGTGAAGACGTCATGTGATAATGTATGCATATTAAAAAAAATTAGCCTATAAAGAACGTTTGCAAAAATGATAAGTAAAGCAGTAAACTCTATACTAAATAAGCGAGACATACTCATGGATTCCATAAGTCCTCACCGAGTCACTCAGCCTATCTTTCTTATTGGTGATATATAAATGCAGAGGACAGTGGCAGTGGCATCATTCTTCCTTCCTTTCCTTCCCTTTTTTTTTGTTTTTTTTTTGCGCTTTATTAATCCGATCATTGGTTTCTTGTTTTCCATCCAACCTATCCATTTCACATGAAGATTGAATTACATCACGGAGCGGTGCGTCAGTGTTCCGAGAACACACCATCCAAAACTAACCCGGCATAGAAATATATGAACTCGGGAACTCTCGCACCGATGTCATGCTGTATCTTATGAGACCACCACCACTAATTGTTCTAAACTCAAACTTATTAGATAAATGCGTGATTTAATATTTAAATATTTTAACATATTGGATCGAACGAAGCGATGGGTAAGCTTACATCGATTTTTATAGCCCAGTTCTCGTACGTGTGGTGTCACGTTGGCCGACGATGCTTGGACTTTCGACTATCATCGAACCCCCTTTTTGGTATTTCGTGGAAAGGAAAATTTGCGACGTAAAGATGGGTCCAGTGTCCAGAAAAGATGCCTAGTTCTTTGGTGGGGGACCTTTGCTCTACGCCAGGGAAGCAAAACTGGGGTCGGTGAATGATTGGACTTCTCGAGAGGCCCAGTGACGGGCCCATCCAGAAGGGACCATTGCCAATGGTGAGGGACGGAGAAGATAGGACCAGGACCAACAACCACCCCCCACCTTGGAGCTGGCACTACCTATCATTGAACCCGGCGAGTCAAAACGAGATTTTTCGTTTTTCCAAAAAGCTTTCGAGTAGCGGAGCTAGTGACTCATCACCTAACGATTGCAACACACACAATCGTTGGCCTACACCTTTTATGACCCTCCTGGCCATTCTTCAGCAAAAATCCTAAGTGCGTACCGACAGTACACTCGATACATTCGTAAATCATTTCGTTAAAAACGGGTGCAGTTCGTACCTTTTTTTCCTGACTGCTTCATTGGCAGTGGAGACCCAAACTCGAGCATGGATATTATTGATAGGTTAATCTTGATGCCTCAAAACAACCGGACACGATGGCTTGGAGAAGATAAAGACCTACGGCCCGAGCCATGGAGACGGGAGTAATGGATGTCGAGAACGACATTAAGAGACTCTCATTTCAGATAGTAAGCTTTTGAGAATGAGAGGACAAAATCACAAACCTCCAAAAGTTAGTAGAGCTCGTTATTAGGGTCTAGGACCATCTGGATGGTCAAATCACAACCCTGTGCTCCCACCTTCATCCCGGAAATGTGGACGAGGCATGGAAACAGCTTCCGAGAAAAGGGTGATGTGATCAGGCACGGATCGAAAGACAGCGTACGAGGCAGAGAGAGAGGATAAGAATTGGAGGTCCCTACTCAACACCAGATGATATCATTCTCGCGAACCGAAAAAAGAAAAGAAAATTCCTGATGAAAAGAAAATTCCTGATATATATCTTCTTTAAAGGTTAAATCATGGTGGGACAGCAATGTACTTGCTCAGTAGGCCGGGGTTAGAAGATCAGAATACGGTTTCTATTCATCAACCTTGGCGTTTCGTGTGCGTGTCTACATGTGTATACGTGCGCGCGCACATATATATATATATATATATATATATATATATATATATATATATGTCATTCTTGTTTAAAGCCATACGCCAGAAAGGCACATATACCTGATAACCGATGTACCGCCATTGGAAAAATTGTCTAAAAAGTTTTAAATGTATTGTACGGTAACCAATTCGATCATGAATCTTTCAATTGTGCCAATTTAGGCATAAACATTTTGCCAATTTGCCAATTCAGTTCCAAACATTTCAATTGTACTAATTTAATCATAAATTTTTTGAGTATTTGCTAATTTAGTTATAAACATTTTAATGAATTACTTCCAACTAATTTTGGCCGGAAATCGTTAACGTGGCGATCTAGTTAACGCCAATCGTGCTATTTAGCACGACCGATGCTGACGTTGATAGTTTTTTAAAAAAATTTAGAATTTTTTGATGTTTATTCTTTTTTTGTCTTCGCAGGGTCAGCGACCTTCGTCAGCCATCGGACAAGGGCCGGTGACCCCCGCTGGCCCTAGGGCAATGGCCGTGACGCCCTCATTGTGGCCTGCGAGGACCTAGAGGGCTCGCGAGGACCTAGGCGAGGGCTCGCAATGCCCTCGTGGCACCCTCGCACACGTTTGGTAAGGGCTTCATAACCCTCGCCCTGTGGCTGACAGTCTCGCTGCCCTGTGAAGAAAAAAAGGAAAAATAAATAAATGAAAGATAAGAAAAGAAAAAAATCCATAAAAATAATTTAAACTTTAAAAATTTTATAAAATTAAAAATTATCTACATCAGCACTAACTGCTCCACGTAGAATATCGATAACTGATTGGACTGCCACATCAGCAATTTCTAGCCAAAATTAACCGAAAGGACTACATTAGCAATTCGTTAGAAGGTCTAAGACTTAATTGGCAAATTCTCAAAAGGTTTAGAACTAAATTGATATAATTAAAAAGTTAAAGACTGAATTAGCTACCGTACAATATATATATATATATATATATATATATATATATATATATATATATATATGATTTTTTGGACAATTTTTCCCACCATGATTTCATTGACTTCACGTGTCCAATACATCACGGAATGCGGGCCTTTCACTAAAATCCATCGACATCAAATATTACGATGCACTGAGCTCAAACGAATCTAACGCATAATCGAATTTTTTTTCCGTAGAGAATGGCCAAAACTTCGCGTGCTTCAATCCTAGCCAGCCTTAATTAAAACACCTATCCTTTTTCCTCGATATTGTGGAGGTATGGAATACAACAGTGGCGGTTCGCTATCGCAAGAGATGATTGCACCCTCGTTTTAATTACATCTTTTTTTTTTATGGTAACCGAGGTGTCCGGGCCAGCTTGCGCGCACCTCGACTATTTCTCGAGGGAGACTAGCACGATTTAAATATGATCGTTAAGTTCTCAGTTGGGCCTAAATTTTAGACCTATATAAATATGATCGTTAAGTTCTACGTCCGTGAAAATCATACGATTTAAACGGGTATTATTATAAACATGTTTCTATTTTCGTCACCAACTAGCTTAAGCGGTCCAAATTTAAATACATGATAGGAGAACAGCAAAAACCCAAAAAAAAGGAAAGAAAGAAAGAGCAAAGAAAAGGGAGAAACATAAGCTAACCCTACTTGCCAATTAGAACCGACAAGCACAAATTGGTGGTCTAAAAACTACCAGAGGAAAAACTAGGCTCCGTTCGTCTCGTGGAAAACAGTTTTCTCATTTTCTGGCATTCATTCGCTTAGAAAAATAAGTCGATCTGTCTTCTTCAAGGCTCGAGATCAACTGACATCATTGTTATCGAGCGATCTCGGTCTGCAAGGCCGAGTTCAACTCAACCTGTTCAGCCTCCCAGCTCGCTTTCGCTATCGCTGCACTGTGGAGGGGCACATAGTCCTGTACAAAAGCAAGACGACATTACGAGAGGCTGACAAAGAGGGTGTGAATACGATGCATCGCTTGTGCCACGGAGAGGAGGAAGTAGCCCAAACCTCGAGCTTCTGAAGCAACTCCCGAGCACTCGTGGCAGAGACGACGATGCTTCGCTCGCACGGCTTGATAAACCCGTCGTCCACGGCTTTATCGATGAAGGCGAGCAGGTTATTGTAGTACCCTTCCACGTTTAGCAAACCCACCTGCCAGGATAATCAATATAAGCATAGGAAGTATGATAATGCGAATCGAAAACCCTCGACCAGTTATCTAGAGGCTTTTGCAAGTTTCGTGAACGGGGTAAGTCTAGACATTTTATCTATGCAGGTGATCTTGACTCGGAGGAGCTTATTCTCTCTCAGGGGAAACCATTAACTCGATGTATTGTCATGGCTTCTGAAAATATTTGATGAACCGTAGTGTGCTCGTAGTCAAATGAAGTTTCTGATTAGGAGGAGTTCTGCTTTGAGTTATTAGGGACGAATCGAATAGATTTGTCTGACTGACTAGGCGAAGTGCATGGCTTAAGAGCATTACCGGCTTGTCCTGGATGCCCAACTGGGCCCAGGTAATCACCTCCAATAACTCTTCCAAAGTCCCATACCCACCTAATCATGGGAAAAAAAACAGGCACAAATAAGCACTTATCTAAACTTATCTCATTATTTCGCGAAGCATAAATAATTTAGAAAACGTTTTCCTAAAAGTCAATTGCTCGTGAGAAACAAGAAACACATGCGCAGAGGCTCGTTTTATATATATAAAAAAAAATCAATAGACAGTGCTTATTAGATTGTAATGCAAGCTGTAAATTTGTTTAGCGAGGTATAACGTGATTAATTAATTAATTTAAGTACACTGAAACAAAACCTGGTAAGGCAATGAAACAGTCAGAATGGCGGGCCATCTCGGCTTTCCTTTGGTGCATGTCGGCTACTAGTTTGACCTCCCCAACCGTCTCTCCAATTATCTGCTAAACAATCTTAATAATCCTCAATCGAAACAAAGCATTCTTCTTTCAATTTCACTAAACTAATGTGTAAGTCACGGGTCAAACAAGCCGGACAAGTGTAATCTTGGGAGCCCATTGCAAGCAAAAGGGCAGACAAGGATTTGTTTACCAAAGAAAAGAAGGTCGGATGTGTGTAGATTGACTTTTCATACCTCTTCGTACATCAAACTTTTGGGAACGACTCTGCAAAAGAAAGAACCGCACGACACAGCGCATTAATCTAAACCGAAACAGCCATCAAGAAAACAAAATGTCCATAGATGAATCTTTTCCAATTTTTAATAAAATATTTAATCTTTTTTGAATTTTTTTTTTCTTCCAAGCTCGGCGTGGGCCACTGGCCAACCCTTGCCGGTACAAGCGAGGGCCAGCCAACCCTCGCTAGTCACAGACAAGGGCTAGTCGACCTTGCCAACCAATGGGTGAGGACTGCGGGCGAGGGCTTTGTGACCCTCACCTAGTGGCCAACGAGGGTTGGCCAGTGACCCTCGCCGGACTCAGAAGAATATAAAGGAAAAGAAAGAAAGAAAGAATAAATTATAAAAGGGTCAGTTGTCCTACGTGACACTATTAATATCCACATCAGCGATTTCCGGTAAAAATTAGCAAAATGGACTTAATGGATAAAATTAAAAGGTTTAGGAGTGAATTGGTAAAAGTGCAATGGATTTAAAATTTTGTTGACAATTTTCCCCTGCATGTGTTCTCACAATCCAAATAATGTTATGATTGGCAGTGATGCTCAAAAGGAGTTTGAGAAGGAGAATAAAGAGGTGGTTTTTGCACTTTGGTGTTGAGCTCGTGATAGGATCGATGGTCGGCCCTGCTCTTTATGCCGGTACGACGAAATCATGATTTGTCGGAGAAGCAAAGCATCGACGTGCCATCATAAAGTACGTACCCGAGAACACGGCGGCCTCCGCCATGGACCTCCTGAGAAACTAATCCCATCAATCCAACGCTCCCTCCGCCGTAAACAAGATCCAAGCTCCGCGCAACCTTAAAAATCACACCGTAAGGCGAAACAGAGATCGAGAAAAAAAGAGAAACCCAGGTGATCTAGCGTTCCGTAGCACAAGAACGAATACCAGTTCTCGGCCGAGCTCAAGCGCAGCATCCCCATACGATCGCCTCTTGCCGATGCTGCTCCCGCAGAAAACGCAGATCGTTTTGAACCTCGACCGGCCGGGTGCCTTCATCTCCTTCTCCTCCCCCATGCCTCTGACCTTTTTTCTGTTCCCCTTTGCTTTTCTGGAAGTTCTCTCTCGCCTTCGTCTCCAACAATTCCGGGAGGGGATTTTGTTTTTGCAGAGAGTCGATTTTGGATAGGGCTTCTCTGTTTTCCCTCCGCTAACCAAACGGGAGGAACATGGAAGGAGAAGAAGAGGCCAACGAACTAGACGCGCATATATAGAACCCGAAAAATTAATCGGAAAAAAACTTCCTTCGCCCGTGGAATCTCGCAGTGCCACGTGTGTTCGAGAGCTCGTGATTTTCCCTTTCTCGTTTTTCTTTGGAAAAATGATACAAACAGTCCCTAAACTTTGATTCAGAGACTAAATTGAACATGTACCAAAAGTCCAGGGACCACATTGAAAAAATTAAAAGTTCAAGGACCACATTACACATTGAGTTAAAGTTTAGGGATTATATTGAACAAATTAATAGTTCATGAATCAAATTACACATTAAGCTAAAGTTCAGAGGCTGTTTGTATCGTTATTCCTTTTCCTTTTCATATTCTTTACTAGATTCCCATCCCTTCGGTTCTGTGGCAGCAGGTACGAAATCTCACATAGACCTGATGCGTGTATCTTGGGCCCATCTCAGCAATTATATCTTGGCCAGTTTGTGTAACTATGATTAGCTCCACCAAATTAAGGAATTCACCGATCACTGGGATTTGTCCTAATTATCACATTTCCTATTTAGGAAGAGAGAGGTAAGAAGTTCGATTCCCCACTTTTTTAGGAGGATTAGCGATAGGGACGTTTAATTTCATATGTAGATTTTAACTCTCACGCTCTGTTAAAAGACAATATAAAAGTCTGAAAGTGAGTTGAGAGTTAGAGTAGATTCACACATATTTAATTGGGATGAAGATCTTCGCGTATCATATAAGGTGAGGCGTCTTGATATCTCTTGACTAATCTCGATTACCAGTATTAACAAATAAGAAAAATTACTAAAAGAAAGTCCTAAAACTATTACGCTTTTGCCAATTCAGTTCTAAACATTTGATTGTGCCAATTGAGTTCTAAACATTTTCACCTTTTATCAATTGAGTTCATCCGACCAATTTCGATTGAAAAATGCTGATGACCGTCCTACATGGCACAGTTGACGCTGATGTAGACATTTTTAATAAATATTTTGAATATTTATAATTTTTTTTTGTTTTTCTTTACTTTTTATTGTGTTTTAAAGTGAAGGCAGGCGACCCTCGCTATGGCCGTTGAGGGCTTAGGCGAGAGCTTGGCGGCCCTCGCCCAGTACCAGCAAGGGTCGCCGACTCTCACTCCAAAAAACAATAAAAAAAAAAGTCAACAAAAGGAAGAAAAATAAAAACCAAAAAATTCAAAATATTATTAAAGATGTCTATGTCGGTGCTTGGCCGTATCACGTAGGACGGTCAAGGTCTACGTCAGCAATTTTCAGCCTATATTGATCGAATCGACTCAATTGATAAAACGCGAAAATAATTAAAATTTCATTAGCACGATTAAAAAATTCGAAAAACATATGGGGTCCATTATGGTCTCCTATGGGCTGCCTTCCGCAATCTCCTCCGCTATAAAATAGTGCGCGGCGTGCGCTACTTCAAATGTGGTCAGCTGTCAAAAAAAAAAAAGACAATGATAAACGTGCGACTGCTTAGACCTAAATCCATCATCATGTGTAGCTCACTAATAATAGAGGAGAGACACATCCAATCACTCCTTTAAGGTTTAAAGCCGTTTTGTGTAGCCAAAACATCAAATCATGGTCTCTCCAGTGCTAGCCCTAGCATCAACATGAACATCTCTAAATTCTATTTCGAGATGATGGTTCGTGTCTATGTGCTTTCGATGCAGCAGCCCGACATTTCCAGGTGTTGTGTGCTTGCGCGTCTTCACGCGGCGGCGGATTCATCGACCCCGTTAAAGAAGTCCAAATTTGTATTTGGATGAAACCCACCCGCTTCCTGTAGAGATTAGTTTGATCCGGCCGCCATTGCGAGGCCAGTCGAAGTCGACCGATTGAGATCGAATCGAGCCTTTTGAACCTTGTGAGGACATAGATGACAAGATGGTATTATCGTGTGACTCGAGAATGTGTCGATCGACGGTGACCCTTTGATCGATGAATCCTGCATGGTCTAAAACATAATTGATCTCTTGAATCGAGTCGTACGCAACAACTTCTTCTCATATATGGGAGGTTTTCTACTCTACTTCCTGCATGTCTCGTCGTTTTTTTTTCTTTTTTTTGATATAAAATGAATCTCTCTAAGTCCAGCCTAACATGCACAAGAAGCAAATGAAAACATCAAGAACATTTATCGGATTGTCATGCAAATGTGCAGGAAAAATTATCCGAAAAGTCATAAACTTATTATCCGACGACCAATTCAGTCTTAAACCTTTTGACAACTTGTTTAATCCTAAATCTTTTAATTATGCCAATTTAGTATTAAACCTTTTGACGATGTACCAATTTAGTACTAAACCTTTTAACGAATTGTCAAGTAATCCTTCTGGTTAATTTTGGCAAAAAATCGTTGACACGGCGGTCCAATCGACACCAACTGCCTTACGTGATGCAGCCAACGCTAACATAAATAATTTTTTATTTTTTTAAAAAATTCAGATTTTTTAAATTATTTTGTTGATTTTTTATTCTCTTTTTTTTCCTTTCTTTTCTTCTTCATTGAGCTGGTAGGGCCGCCGGCCACTAGCCGACGGCCAACGGAGTTGGCCCCCGAGCAAGAGCCGGTAACCCCGCCGCCCCGTGGGCGAGGGCCCACACCTAATCGAGCTCGAACTGTTGTGCCTCGAGATGAAAACAAGCTAGTCAATAATGCAAAGGATATGTCACAAAGAGAAATGGTACAACGCTAGCTCCGCTCCTCAAGGACAGAGGACTGAACCGTGGCCGTGGACCTTCTGCTCAGCCTGTACGCCAAGTACAGGTAGGCCGTGCCTGCCGCAAAAGGCCTGATTCCCTGGTCAATTATTGGAGGTTTTTAAATTCAGTACCGCTGGGCACTCTCTCGTTGTATCCATTAATGGTATGTTTTGGCCTTTCGGCTCCTTGAAGTCTTCTCTTTCTCGATGCTCGGTTCGAAGTTGCAGGATAACCCCAAGGGGGTCCGATTCCAACCATGCCCCAGCACGAAAGTAAGAGCTCAAACCACCGTATCCACATGAATGATGCACGGAGCTTTCGGAAGCCACTTTGCAGGTCTAGACAGTAGGTAGAAGGAAGAAGACGGGAGAAAAGACTAGTAAGGACGGTCGCTTTCCCGAGAGTGGTCCCTCACCCATTTCAAGCTGAAGAAACTTATTCAATGGTCGGTTCTAATCGCTTTTGATCGCAAATCTTTGGGATTGATTTTTCCAATAAATGTTTGTTGCATTTTCGTTATGATTCTTCCCAATACATTATCATCATTCTGTTCAGGATTGTAATTTCTATTGGAAAATATAACCCCATTAACAAAATTTTCATCACGATGAATATTACTAAATGTCCAGTCAACTACCACATCTCAATGCATTTCGGGCCAGGTTATGAAGAATTTGTCATTACCAGTAGTTCAGACTCACTCACTCTTTGTTTGAATTTGGTTTTGATTCAACGGGAACCTTTCGACAGGGAGCCAGAGCTAGGGCCACCGAGCCTATGTTGCTAATTGGCTTTGGCCTCCAAAAATTATTGGGAGGAATGGGACATCGACTTCGTACTCGAGACGTCGTCATCATAAAATCAAAGTGAGAGGACCACTTAGCCCGAAGCAGGTCCATCTCATCAAAGGGAGGGGACCAATCAACCGACTTAAAAAATCGTGAAGATTCAAATCCCTCTATCCCCCTTGCACAACGGCGATTCGAATCGCAAAAAAAATGGTTTTAATACAATCATATACTCTACACTTTATTCAAGCACGGCCGGCCAAAGAAGTTCCAAAAGGTGGTGTCCCTGGCGAAAGAAGCACGAGCGGAAAGCTAAGATTTCATCCACGGCATAGGATAAGGGATCTGGCTGTCAAGGTAACTCTGTACAAGAGACTGGGTTTGATCACGAGACCTGCCGTGTCCAAATTAAATTCTTAATCACGCCGCCTCGAAAAAGTTCCAGGAGTGTTATGTTTATCGCGATAATCAAGCGACCCTAAAGAAGGAAAAGGGTAATTAAGAGTGGCTAAGTAGGTTAGAGAATTGACCGGTGGGGTATACATGGATGTGGCCATTTAGTCTCGTTCAGAGGATGCTTCTGATGGCTGTACGGGGAAAGAGCCACGAGGCTTCGTCTGTTGACACGATTGAAAAGGTGAAACAAGAGTTGAACGATCCACGAACATTTTCTTTCACTTTCTGTTGTTTTGATCAATTCCTATCAATAAAGGGGGGATAAGAAAAAGAGAGTCGCCGACCCCTTTTTAATACCCCGATGGAGACAACAGGACGAATTGGACGCATTCTCTTTTCAAGTGTGGGAAAACAAAAGAACAATACGAATTCGTCCTTCTCTTTCTCTTTCTCTTTCTCTTTTCTCATTAAGGGCAGAACACACATCGAGCTTATTTGGAACCCACAAGGTTCTTGGAAAGGGGGTGTCGGTCGAATTCAAATCTCTAAATAGGCTCGAATATCAAATCAGAGATTGTGACGAGCAAAGCATTTCCTCAACAAACACAACAAAGTAAACACTGCCCTCAAAATGCTTGTTATGCTGGAATAAATGTGTTTTTGATGAACTGACGAAATTTCAATATCTTGAAAATGACATCGGTGTTCGGCAACAATTATCAGATCTTACTAGATCAGGCAATGAAACTTGTATGTTTAGGGACACCAAGACGAAGCGTGACGAGGATAAAGATGGATCCGTGCCGAACCCAAGAAAACTAGACGACTCTTCTCCTCGTGTGCATGACTTAAATGAGCACGAATTTGACAAAAGAGGTGCGGTCACGTGTTCCCAATTCCGACCAAAAAGGGCATCAAAAGCTAAAAGTGACGAAATGGAGACAGGTTCATTGATCTTGGGAAGTGGCTTTTCCGTGTACACCATAAGCCAACACCACCACCAAAGTCAGTCACCGAAAAAGACTGACAATTCTCGTTCCTCTGACTTGCATTCCTAATTTACCCAATCGCTTGGCAATTCCAATCGATTGGA